GCATTAATTTAAAACCCCTTATACCAAACCTCGTCTAATATCTGGTATGATCAGAGTGTTAGATAAAACATTACTCTATTGGGCAAAAAAATGCCTAAAAATAATAATAGTTAAAATTGTTTGTATAAGGCACACACATAGGCTAGGCATAATTGACCGTCTCTATGCGATTTACAGAACATAATACAGAAGGAGCGGAAATGGTACACTGGGGTCATAGGTGGGGGGGGGGGGGGGGAGGTTAGGAGCACTCATTTTGTTTTGCTCAACGGGGGGGGGGGGGGGTTAACTCAACACGCACCCCTCTCCCTTGAGCAAGGGGGAGGGGCCCGTTTTTTGTTAAATGTTAAATTTACCTATTTTTGGCCAGCGAAGTGGCATGATTAAGTCTTTAGCCATCGATCTACTGGCGGATTCCTAACTTCAATAAACAGCGAATACGAATGACAGGTCTTAATTTAAATGATAAATATGACGCCTCGACAAGTGACGATTAATTTTAATGCTAGTGCATTATTACAGATACAGATCTATGAAACCCTTCGACCAAAATTTTAAATTCAATACAAAAACGGAAAAATTGAATGATAATTGGCATGGCAAAGCCGATCTGCTGTTACTTAAATGCAAAGTATAAAAATTTGAATGACAAACTGACGAATTTCGCCGGGAAATCTTATATTTGAATTTGATTAGACGGAAGATCTAAAGAGGATCAGATACTTAAACCCTTTGATGCTTGAATGGGCATCTCTTGCGTTGTTATTTAATTTAATTACATTCATGTTCATTATTACTCTCGTGCTCAAACTAATTTTGATATTCACGAAATTTTGAGACGGCGCTAGAGGGCATGCCAGTATTAGATAGATATAACGTCTATGTTTGACATCACTTTCTTTGTGTGATTTGGATAGGTATTGACTGCCTGCGAATCGAATACAGAGAAGGCTTCGATGATGCTGCTTCGAAGATGGCGAAATGAACAACCTCCATATAAAGACGCCACGAAGGACCTACTTGACAGGCTTAACAAGGCAGAACAAAGAGAAAGAAACGTTCGAGAATATTTCTCAGGTAACTACATTGCCCAACTCATGGTCATGACCATTCCCGTGACAAGGTTTCATGCGCTGTAAATATACTTATGCTAATCAAACCTGAAAAAGGCAATTAGTGTTCACCTCAGGAGTTCAGAGAAAATTACACATTCGCTTTTGGTTCAATACCATTCTCAAATAGCGCGTCGAAGGCCAGGTCAGTCGCCGACACAGTTATACGTCAGACAAATGACGCCACGTGTGCAACGGGTGTATAACTCATGAAGGTTAGGTTGCCTCTGCCAAGTCAAGGTACATGTGTACGCTGCTGATTTAATTGCAAGACCATTGGCTTACCTTGTTGGGTGTGGTTCCAGAGGCGATGGAAGTATCTAAAATTACACCTATTTAAAAAAAAAGGAGAGATAAAATTACCAGGTAATTACCGACCAATCTCAGAGTTATTTGAGAAACTAGTTAATAAGGGGCTACTTGATTATTTTGAAAGAAACGATGTCTTGTATAAGCACCAATTTGTTTTTTGTAAATACTATAATACCAAGATGTCGTTAAGCATTTTATTTAATGGTGAAATGCAGTCGTTTTAGGGATAGTATGACCCTAGGCATATTCCTAGATTTTCAGAAAGCTTTTGATACGATTGCCCACAAAATACTGGCTAGTAAACTAGAACATTATGGAATTAGGGGACTGCCACTTCAGTGGTTTAAACATTATCTTCATGAAAGATTTCAGTACATGAATTATGATGGATATGGCTCATTACGGCAGATGACAACGTGTGGTCTTCCTCAGGGGTCAGTATTAGTACCTCAATTTTTGTTGTATTCATATAAATAATTTTCCAAACTTAACAGATTACTTACATTTTTGGCTTTTTGCTAATGATTCTAACCTGTTTCATACATTTCTACGAAGGTTAAATATAATATATAAGAATGTAGTTGTTATGCATTTCGATAAGGTGTCCACGTGGTGTAAAATGTACAAACTTTTGACTTGAAAATCTCACATTGAAAGAGTAAATTAATATTAGAAAACAGATTGGTGTTTTTTGATAGATTAATACATTTAAAAATCTAGAATTGACTTACTTTGACTTATGCCGTCCACGCAGGCCAGGGACCTCGTGATGGCTTCTGTATGGTGATGGTATGTCAGGTATTTCTGTCTGCAGCCAGTCTTGATGCATATGTCAGCCTTGGTATGGATCTTGCTTTGCAGTCCTCTGAGATGCAGTCAAGCCATCTTTTGGGTGGATGGCCTCTGGGTCGATTTCCTGTGACATTTCCTTCAGAACTAGATTATATTTTTGTTATTTATAAAACATATATTCAACCACATATTACATATGAAATTGAGGTTTGGGGAAGCAATTATGAATTGATATGAAATGTTTATTATCACACCAAAAGATGGCACTAAGAGCTATAACATTTAGAGCACATTTGAAAAAGATTTGAAAGAGTTAAACAATAATGTGTATGTACTATGTAAACTATCTGTTAGTGTTTTTATGCATCAATTATTTAATAATAAGTTGCTACAGTCCCTTATTCAGTACTGCTCTTTCGTACAGCAAAGAAATGAGGTACAGAAGGTACGATCGAATGGTGAAAGAAGAAATGAAGAAAGAAAGCAAAGGGGGAAAGAAAACCTGTAAAAAGAACCTTTCTATACGTCCTCTAATAGGTGGCATTACAATTTGTAATTCAACTACCTAAAAAAGCGGTGCTCCGGGAAATGATTATGACAATGCCCGCAACTCCTACAAAAGAATTCTAGATCCGCCACTGAATATAGCAGATTACGGTTATCATTTTTTGTTATTAATTTGCAGGCAAGGTGGCTCTGAGAAAAGCCGTTGATGCTGTCAACGAAGTGAGTTGTGAAGATACTGATCTTGTGTCTAGTGGCTATTCAGATCAATCAGTGAGCTCAGCATGTAAACAAGTAGCCATGGAAAACAGAAGGACAATATATTTAGACATTTTCCCTGACTCTAGATCAAGTGAAACTTTGAGCATGGATTCAAACGGACAAAGAGAAGAAGATCCAGGTAGAAGTGCGGCGATAGAAACAAGTTCGTTCTCCCTCAGGCCATGCGATAAAGTTTACACTCTTAAAACGGATTCAGCAACCGCCGTCGTGGATGCTGTCAACGAAGCGAGTTGTGAAGGTACTGCTCTTGTGTCTAGTGACTATTCAGCTCAACCGGTGAGCTCAGTATGTAACAAGAAATCCAGGATGGACAGAAGAACAATATATTTAGACGTTTCCCCCGGCTCAAGATCACGTGAACCTTTGATCCTGAGCAATGATTCACACGGACAAAGAGAAGAAGATCCACGTAGAAGTACAGTGGTAGAGACAAATTCCTCCTCGTTCAAGCCATGCAATGCAGTTCACACTCTTAACACGGATTCAGCAACCGCTGCGAAGAACATTGACAATGGCAACGAGCAGGAACTGAATGCTGCGGCAAAGGGACAGGAAGTGAAAGAATCATGTTCTGAAAGTGGCATCGACTTTGCACAGGGTTCCTGCAAGCCGTTGTCCGATAAAGAGGTCTTCGACGTTGCTGAGGATATCGAATCGGATGCTCAGATTGAGAACCTCGGTGTGACCCTTGCCTTCACCAGGGCTGACATTAACCGGTTCCTTGGCACAAACGAAACACTGGGAAGTAAAACCAGCAAAGGTAGTCGCATGATGCTGTTCGATTGGCGTCAGACGGTGAGACAACGGGATCAACGTGCTTGTTTAAAAGGAGCCCTGGTTAGAGCCGGACTCGTCATGATTGCAGATCTGTACTTTCCAGATGTTCAAGAGATGGCTGAAAATCGTAAGTGCACCATTGTCATTCTCCATTTACACAGTGTACATACTTTAACAGGCGGGCCGGAGGCAGTTTGGGATTGGGAGGGGGGGGCAGACAATTTATGTGACTCACCGTCCATCACCACCACTCTTACACGTTACATGCAGGCCCCGCGGAACGTTTTTCAAAGTGGAGTTTTAACGATCAGGTAGAGCTTAAAATTGGCGTGTAGTCCGGAGCCTGAGTCCTGACTGGGGGTCAAGGGGCTGAGCCCCCGAAAGCTCAGGGATTTTAGGCATTGAATTACTGTCAGATTAGCATATTTAGATACCTTATTTGTGACACTGGCAGGTCACTAATTGGCGGGGAGTCCAGGGGGCAGAGCCCCCGGAAGCTCAGGGGTGTTAGGTATTTAATTACTGTTAGATGAGCATCCATGTGCCCTCTTTAAGACGATTTATGTGGTCCAGGGGGCAGAGCCCTCTGAAGCTCAGAGGTTTGAGGTATTTAACTACGGTCAGATGAGCATCCAGGGCCCGCCTTAGGGCTGTTGGTGTGGTCCAGGGGGCAGAGCCCCCGTAAGCTCTGGGGTTTTAGGCATTTAATTACGGTCAGATGAGCATAATTTAGATACCTCATTTTTTACATTGGCAGGTCACTTATTTTCTCTCTTCCTCTTTCTTTCTTTTTCTCTGTAACATACTTTTTCAAAAAGTAAATAAGCATATTTTTCGCCCGACTGTAAATTTGGGAATTTCTAATATTCCAACAAACGCATAAAAAGGTATGACTTACAAAAAAGATGAGAACAAATATCGGAAAAACATTTGTGTATCACTGGTATCGAATAAGAAATGCCCTTCCCCCTATCAGTACACCAGCGTTCAGGGGCTCATGTCTTCTCACCCCTATAACAAAAAACACACACGCTTTCCCATCCTCTCACAATATTTCCACGATATGCGCGTATCGCTATCATAAAAACCTCCATTGATAAATTTAGGTGCCATGCAGAATGTTTAGGAAATTTAATTCCAGTTAATTTTTCCTCTCCTTCAGAAAATATTGATAACAAAAAAATGCAATCTCTTTTCTTTTTGTTTGTTTGCAAAGTGTGCAGTGACAGCGTTGATGAACATGGGAGTACGTTGAGAAATGTGGCGAAAGCCATAGAAAGCGATGACCAAATGCGCGCTCTTGGTCGAGAGCTCGGTTTTTCGAAGCGTTTCCTTGATAGGTTTGCTGCCTCGAACAGGATAGAAGGGATGGTTACGTGTAAAGGGAACACCGACATGCTGTTTGAATGGCGCCAAGAAGTGGTTCCTTCGGAGTTACCCTTTCGACTGAAGAAAGCGCTACGTAAAGCTGGTCTCGTTTTCCTTGCTGAAAAGCATTTTCCCGACATCTTGCAACCGGAAGGTTAACATTTTATCAATGTAATTACGATGGTCTGAATGTGTCAACTTGATGCCTTGTGATTTCGTTTATGAGTCTGGACGACTTCACCAGGATTTCCCCACCCGGAAAACAGTCAACCGGACGATCACCTTCCTAAGACAATTACTAGTCCAGAATGGCGGGGATTGTTCATAACAATTTATCGTTTTGAAGGCAGTCATTCTTTTTCAACACGATGACAAAGCATTTTAAGAAGTTAACTTAAGGACAATTCATACACTCTTTAGTATTTTATAAAAAAATCATGTTCGGATGACGTCACTGTAATTTTCGTACATTTCAGTATCTGATGCACAAGGCTATTTAATTTGTCTTAGGTTGTTTTTGGAAAGTCGATTACGATTTACGATTATGACTTTCCCCACTCGATAGTTGTTCGAGTGGAAATTGATAGCGCAAAAGCTACTGCAACAGCCTACCTGCGGAAACATCTGATTGACTATTACAAGACCGAGACGTGTCAGATAAAGAGAAAGCCGTGGGATCCGGAAGACTTTGCTGATTTGAAGAACCTGTTTACAAACGTTATCGTGTACTTTGTAAACAAGAATACGGGAGCGGGTACGAGAGAGATTCTTCCTGGGTCGATCAGTGATGTGTTTCGGGTGAGAGTCAATAGACTTATACCAAATCGAGTCATCTCAGTTGCAGAAGCGGGAAGGGGCAAGACCTGCGCCGTTGCAAAGATGGCATATGACTGGTCATACTAGGAAGAGGAGACTAGCTTCTTTGCTTTGAAGTTGAGAGTGGTTGATGAAGACATGTCTCTAGGAGAAGCCATACTGTCCGAAACCCTCGGGAACATCCACGGAGTGACCCCAGAATCTCCTGAAGGGTTCATTGGCAGACATGAAGATGATTGTGGGCTAGCGCAGGATGGGTATGATGAATACAAGGGTAAGTTGTCTACAAAGCACCTAAAGAGCATTATCATATTGGCTATTGGAAACAAGATTTACAGGTGATGTCGCCTTATCGTCACCAGTCGACCTTATCTAGAGAAGGAGTTTAAAATTCCAAGACTGACCAGAGTCTACATGAAAATGGAAATTGAGGGCTTCACACAATCCCAAGCGATGTCCTTTATCGATAAATACTTCACGTCGAAGTAAAAACCGGAAGAAGTTGGCAAATTAACATAGTATAAACATAGTATAAACATATATAACATAATAAACATGGTAATGCATTTATCGATACCATCGTCAGCGTACCACTCTTCTGCATGATGATCTGTCATCTCCGGGAAGAAGGCCTTCTTAACCAGGTTTCTTCCCTGACACGGTTGTTTGACAACATCATCCAGTTTCTTCTCACTCATTTAAGATCCAAGGACGATACGTTTGAATGTGACTATCACGCCCTCCTTCGAAACCTCAGAAAGTGGTACTCACTGGACTCTTGAAGGACGAGCAGAAGGTGGTATTTGAAGATACTGATCTTCAAGGGTTCGAAGAATACGAAGGCATTGCTATCAAACTGGGTCTGCTGTCAAAGAAGACAATTCCAGTCACATACATGATAAACGGGAAAGCCTCAAAGACGTACGTCGAGTTCTTTCACAAAATGGCACAGGAGTATTGTGCAAGCAAGTTCTTGGCCGGTTCACAGGGCGATCTCGACCAGAAGTGCCACACCGCTCATGTATGCCGATGTGCTCCGCTTCTTGGCAGGTTTGGATGACAATCTGCTGATGTCTTCTATTAACTCATCCTGGAACTTGAGGAGAGAGTGATCGGCAAAGAAATCAAGCACAGACTTCTTCTGGATTGCATTGGTGGAACCAGAGGTGACATATCGAAATCAACGACTAACTTTCCAACGACCTTTGACGATGGCAAGCTGTGTCTGCATTCATTGTCATCGAGTGCAGTCATGGGATTGAGTAGACTGCCGCCCAATGTTCGAAAACAGGTAAATAATAGTTTCATGCTATACATTGTAATTTAGCGACACACTGATTTAAATCATTACAATACCGACCTGGCGTGGACGATCATGACAATAATAATTATGTGCTCCACATTGTCCCATTCATAGTTCAATTAGTTTCAATGCTGATAACACAAATGATTTTTTTGTTGATATGTGCAATCCTTTTTCGCATATACCTATATTTATTTATTTTTCTATTTAAGTTGCATTTCGGCGATGTGCCATGCTGTTTTTAATCATCTAGATTAGGTCTGTGGATCTCATGTATTGCCATCTGCGGGCACACCTGACACGAATTCTTTGGGTTGGTCTGCGATCTTGTACCAATCTGGAAGAGATGAAGGTATGGGGGTGCTGTCTACAACATTCCAAATTGGTCACACTTACTTTCATCAAGCGTCTCACAATTGGGCACCTCGACAACTCCAGTGAACATTGCTCACTCATCACTGCCGTTCCCAACGTCCAAAGCCTCAAAGTGGAGAGTAGTCCAAACTTCGACAATCTTCAGCAGGTCTTGGACTCGGTCATGGTAGGACTGGGGGATACAACGGTCAGATGTCGATCTCATGCGCCGAAACGCTTATCTGCAGCCTCGAGGCAGACGCACCCTTCTTGGAGAAGCTGGAATTGTACGACGTCAATCTGCATTGGAATATTCTGAAGACATTCGTTTCCAGGCTGAGGCGGATACCTAGCATGAGGGAGATCGAGTAGGTTGTGTACCAATAATTGTTACCATGTCTCTTAGAAAAAAAGAAGCTTCAATTTGGGGAGCAGAAGTGATGCATATTAGAAAGCAAAATACTAGGCACAACTGACTATAATGTTATTTATTTGTAGAAGGGGTTCTAGTGATGGCTAGCGATGATAAGCTAGGCCTTTAAGTCTCCTCCCTTTGTTCAGGAAATCCAATTGATGGGGACAAGAAAATAAAATCAAAGGCGAAGGCATTTAAGGTAATGTGGTTGCTCTTTGCAATGCTCCCCGAATAATAAATATATATATATATATATATATATAAATAATAATTAAAACATTTCAAATTAATATCCTTGAATAGCAAAATAATACATTCACGCGATAACTGTTAAGATGCCATTATGAACTTGCCATGCTAACGATAACAATTTTTTTTTGTATGCTGATTGGCTCTTTCTTTTCTATACAGTTTTCAGTACTGCGGCACCCACGAAGGGGGAGACTTTGAAGAGTATCTCGGCGAAATCTCTACAGTAAATGATGGCGAGATTGCGGTGACATTACGCCATGTATGTTTATTCCATATATTTGAAAGATTATAGAAGTGATGAAGATAGTGATAATATTATCATGATGATGATTGATTCTTCTGCTTGGCGCTTATGGAAAACAAAAATAATGTGACATTATAGAACACGGACAGTTCAATAGAAAAATACAACCGAGGCTCATATTGTTCCCTTCCTCTGCTTTTCACTTTTCATTATTGATCGATCTTAGAAGAGAGAGAGAGAGAGAGAGAGAGTATTAGAAAGAGAGAGAGAGAGAGAGAGAATGTGAGTAAGAAGAAAAGAAAGATTGAAAGTGAGAGAGAGAGAGAGAGAGAGAGATAGGGTATTTTTACCGGAAGCCTAAAGTCATTAAATAAGTTCAGAACTTCTGAGTTTACCGAATATCTTTCGAAAATAATCCCTTTCAAATTTTCACAACCTTACTTGTTTTTGTGTGTGTCTGTTGTAGTTGTTGATTTTTTGTGTTTTTGTATTTTTTATTTTGTAAAAACATCTGTCAAAATTGAGATCGTTTATATATGTTGATGAGAGTAGATCATATAGGCTGAATATATATATATCAATCAAAATGTTATTTCGTTATGTTTTGTATATTTCAGACGTGCCAGTCATATTCAAACCCGAAATATTGATACCAAAGTTTGAAGATTTAACATATTTCTATCTTATTGTAGACGACCTTGCATTTATCCGTGATATTGAATTCGAACGACTTGTCTTGATGATAAATTCTATTTCCATTTCAATCATTATACAGGCATACCGAGGAGGCAGAACCTATGGCATTTGCCACTCTACAATTTGAGTGCAGCCTACGAAGAATTTCAGAAGAACATCATTAACCATTTTAAACATCAATTATCAACAGTTATGTACACACATTATGTTATACATAGGAACGTTTTCGTCTCTATATTTTGCTGTATATCGAAAACAACAGTGCAAACTTATACAGGTAATACCGTTTGTGAATAATACATCCGTTAAACCGACAAACCGACTCCAGACCGACAGATTTTTGGTCATTTTTTGTAAAGTCCTCTTCAGGTGTGTTGACGGTCTTGTGGCGGTCTCATCGATGTAACTGATGTGTAACAGACAGACGGTTCTCGGAAATTATACCCGTTTCCATCAGAGAGTTAAATAGTCTTGCCACTTTCAAAAGATCACTTTAATCATACTACTTCCGTCAAAAATACATTTTTTATGTCTCTTTTCACATTCTTTTATTTTCTAAGCGCTATGGTACTTTTGTTTGTTTTCAATGCTCCTAATTTGTCGATATTATCATTATTATCATCACCATTATTATTGCGTTTACCTCTGACTCACTGTAACATTGCAATGGGTCTGCTATAATTTCACTGACAATCTGATTAAACTTAAATACATCGTCAAATTCATGAAAGTTATTATCCGTGGTTTCGGCGTAGAATTTAATGAAGATGAGCATTTCACACTAGAATATAATGATTCATGATAAATCAAACCCTTTTAGAGACTGATGTCATCACAACATTGTAGTAGTAAACTTTATACAGAGCGAATTTATTTTACATTTCTTTTCACATAATATAAACAATGACAGACAATAATAGACGTAATGATAAACGTAACAGAAATGAGCATTGAACTATCTTTCACGTTGTTTTTAGTAATTATAATGCAAAATGATTTAGTTACAGGAAATGAAGAAAAACAACGAACCTACTTGAAAGCAATGCTTAGTAGGTGTAGGTTCGCACAATAAAAGGGATAGTTGAGTTCTGTTGCAGAGAGCGCTACATACATTTTTTTTTTTCGTGAGATAATGAAAAACGGAGTGTCAAATTTAAAAGGACATACAATTTAAATGACAAAAACATCTTTGTTTTATCAAAAATCGGTTCAGAGACGGCTAAAATATCCATAAATACAACGATTTACTAATACTTGAGTACCACCACAAAATACAAGATAATTTGAAAAAGCCGTTGAAAAAACGAACTAGCGCATTTTACGCCGTATTTCAGCCAATGCCGATGTTGGCTTTTTTGTTGGCATTTTCGTGTTGGTTATATTACGCACAACCAGCCGGCCCATGTATTGTTATTTTTAATTAAATAATTAATTAAAGGTAACCGTATTTTTTGGAAAGTGGAGCTGAATTGGTATGATCGTATTGGCTAAATTTCACACATTTTGGGGTCTAAAATTACCTTTATATCAATTTTAGGTTCTAAAAGGGCATTAGAAATGTCATGGATAAGAAAAAGAGCAATAACCATGCACTTTGAAGGCATTTGCGATCTGATAACAGAACTCAACAATCCCTTTAAACTTTATACATTTATAACTCAATTTTGAAGAAAAAAAACGAAATCAAAAGAACATGACAGATAATAAAAAAAAACAATTAACGAGACAAAAACAAATCAGAAACGACGACTGTTATGAGACAAATATTTCATGAAATACATTCATTGATTTCAATACATTTAAAATGAGCGTGATACGTTTCGTACGGTTGTCCTCTGTTCACCATGTTCACATTGGATTTCTAGGAACAAATACATGGTTCAATCAGATATATAAATGCTCTGTGGTTTGATAACAATATAAATAAGAATGAAGGCACATTCCGTGAAATACCATTCGAAAATGTATGACTTTGCATGTACTTCAGTCGATTAAACTAATGTTGAATGATAATAATAATAATGGTAAAAACAACGATGAAATAAAACAAGTAGATTGTTTTTCGCATTACATAAATCCTGTAAGTTCATACAAAAAGCTTATGATATTATTTTATAATAAAAGGTAATTTGTTTGATTTTCTTCATGACTTTAAACTTAAACATATAGCAAAACTTCTCAAAGGTGCCGAGAAATGTGATCAACGTTTAAAATGGTTTAAGTGACGTAAAGATCTGTGTTATTGTTCAGTAAGAATAATATTACACCCGTGAAGTGATAGGAATAATTCCCAAATTATACATATTCTCATGGTTATAAGATCCTTTTTTTGCAAGTAGATACAATCATTTTCTTCGAATCCATGTCTTTGAATTAAAAAATTTAGTTCGTGAAACATATTGTATATTGGTGTATTAGTTGTATGATATATCCAACGTATAAATAATAAATAAAGTTGTATTGTTTTGAAACGTTTTTGTATAGTTTGATTTACTTTACGTTGAAGTCGAAAAGGAGTATAATGTGATGTAGCATTTAGACATCATATGTAAAATGATGGAAACTGAGGCAAATATGCATTAACCATTAATCAAATAAGTAGAGGGTTTACCAGTAACACCGTTAGCATAAGCCATATTTCCCAAATTAATTTGCAAAATCGAGCTCGAGGGGCATCTCGTTGCTATGACGACCGGCTTCAACCACCTCTCGTTGAATGAGCCACTGCTTCCTGAAGCGTTGTCGAAGTTGTTTTTGAGGATCTAAAAGGAAATGAGTGAAAGAATTAAATCAAAGAGAAGAGCTGCATGACGAATGTTATCTTGACTGGTAAAAAATAATATTATGACTTTATTGAACTAAGTCCTGAACATATTCACTGCCAGTCTGTAGGACATTTATCTTTAGAACAGATACCCACATAAATACCTCCAGGATTCAGGATCCGAGGGGATAGCTTCATCAAGTAGGCAATTGCTTTGGGATAGGGATGGTTGTTCTATGGACCCCGTGGTTGTCCGGGGATGATTTTCTAGGGACAGGATATTACAGTTTTCTTGTACATCAGTCAATAACATAATATCTGGAAGTAAACGGTATTCCAAACTGTGCATGAGTTCAAAAGGCCGAACTTCTGCGACCACAATTTCCCATAGGGTAAACCCAGTATCCCGAAATGTGAATACAGTCAGCCATGTCCTATATTCCCTATTGTCCTAACCTTTTGACAAGGCCTCCACAGCGGCTGAGATGAATCTAGAGACACAGGGTGAACGCACGATCGAGTGGCGTCAGCCGCTAGGCCCTTTGCAAACTAGCTTTACTACTCTGCATGAATTATTCATAACTTTGGATTTATTGACCAATCAGAAAGGTCATCTCCCAGTTGACTTCGTTTGTGATTCATTCATTATCAAAAAATCCGGGATATATGGATGCATTTAAATAATATTTTTATCCTCGTATCCAATCTCAAAAAATGAATATTTGCGATGTAAATTTGATAGTCTAAAGTGCATAGCAGTATGCCAGTATAATAGTTTTCAAGGCTATCAATTATAAACAGCGCAAGTCTTCATATAAAGAACTTTAACAAGATTTTTCTGTCATGATTGCTGTTTTAGCTTTATTTGCAGCCGTGGGCAGACAGTTTAAATATTCGTTTCTCTCACAAGTGAGGAATCAGTAGGCCCTTTACATTACACTTGTAGTGTAATAAACATTATTTGCGCACCTTTAAAACGGCGACTTGCTCGAATGATCCATGGGGGCTACATAATGTGCGCACGTGCATTCGAAGGCCTTAATCCGATGATCAGTACAATAATAGTCTTGTGTTGTGTGTAAAAGCTTCGAAACACTTTGCATGCTGTGTATGTTTCAATTTTAAAGTCATAAACACTGGTATTATTGTTTCCGTGTAAACGCGAACACAGTTGCCCTCTGCATATAGGGTTCAACCCTAGCCTGCTTGAGGATTCAACCCACAAGCCGAGTCACTGTGTAAAATCAGCGTGCGTCCTCATGCATAGATCAATCTATATACAAAAAATGATCTCATGATTAGTGCTTTAACTTCATTGGCAGTTGTGGGGCGAGGCTTGCCGCAGACAGCTTCCTTCCTTTTAGCAAAGTATAAGTTTCTGTCACAAGTGAGGAATCGGTAGGCCCTTTACATTATGTACATGTATGGTTTGGTCCGATGTAGGACGCGAACTTCAATGTGGCCACTTGCCCGAATGATCTATGGGGACTTCAGAATGTGCGCACGTGTATGAGCAGGCCTTAATTTGATGATTAAGTGCAATAATTGTAACGTGTTTATGTGTTGTCTGTAAAAGCTTCAAAACATTTTGCATGCTGTGTATGTATCAATTTTAAAGCCATAAACACTGGTATTATTGTTCCATCAAGGAAGTGAACGGATTATCACAATTTTCTACAGCAATGTAAGGGAAGCTGAACACCATCGCCGATTATTTTGAGTCTAATTTGAATTTGATGAATGTGACTTATATGAGGCCCATGGAGGAGTTACATTTACTCATCAATTGATGTGGTACTCGAATCCGTATGCATATTCTGTAGTGTGGATATTGGCACTCATGAACGACTGATGAAATGAAGGCACAACTATATAGCTAACCGAGGTAAACAAAGAACCAATATCCGCGATGGCTCGGGCTCCGACATCATCTTCATCGGGATCGTCAATGTCGTCATCATCGTCTCCCTCAGATGATCTGACAGACGGCGAGCTGTGGGCGATTTCACATCAAATAACCATGAGTTCTTTTGTTGATCTTGGCCATGAAGTTCTGGGATACTCATTCGACGAAGTAGAAGAAGTAATATTTTCTGTTATTTCATATTTCCCTAACCTATCAAAAAAGAAAATACTTTAAACTAATTTCAAAATAATGTGCACTGTTCCAAAAAGGCCATCTGGTTAAAAAAGCGACCCCTATAGGGCGCTCATGTGCCCGACCTACTATATTGGCATTAATTTAAAAGCCTTTACACTAAACCTTGTATAATATCTGGTATGGTTAGAGAGTTAGATAAATTATTACTTTATTTGGGCAGAAAATTGCCTAATAATAATAATGAAACTTTTTTGTTCATACTTGTGAGATCTTACAAAGTGCTAGATAGATATGTTTTTAAATTCCTTCTGAACTTTTCATATGTTTCTCTATTTC